TCCCTAATTGTCTCAGAGACCTCACTGATCCCTGGCACAAACCTGACTTCATCCCAGCCCCAGCACTCACCAAATCTCATCCTCAAATCCAACCAGATCATAAATTCAACCCCAGCTCCACTCCCAACCCCTCCCTGCCCCATCCCCATTTTTATCCACAGCTCCAAACCCAATCCCCATTCTCACCCCAAATCTTTCCTTACTCCAAAACACCCAAGTCAAGACAGGATCCTGGAGGCTAGTGAGCGCCTATGCCCACAGGGACCCAGCTCCAAACCGCCAGGGCGTGCGTAGCGGGAGGATGGGGGAGGGGCTGTTTAGTCTCACAGCCCCTCCTTCCTCTCTCCCTCCTGCAGTATTTAAGGCAATAACGAACATTGGCCTGGAGTGTCAGAGCGTCACCTCCAGGGGGGACCTGGCTACTTGCCCCCAAAGTGAGTGCAGAAGCCTGTTGTCAAGGCGCCCATCTCTGTTCCAAGCCCCCTGGGAATGCCCCTTCCCCGCCACGTTCCCCAAGTCCAGCCTCTACTCCCCTAGGATCCTGGTCCTGACTCCCAGCCTTCTCCACCCACCATCTGGACACTGGTGTTCACCCTAACTCTGCCTCCAGTGCCCCTGAAGCTCCACCAGAAGCCCCAGGACAAGCACTGGAGTAGTTGGCGCCTCCAGCCGTCCTCGCCCCCGGCTCCCACCCCCAGGCCTCCAGCTCGGAGTCTAAGCTCCCCTGTTCCGGGCTGCAGGCTTCGCCGTTACCAGCTGCACATGTGGTTCTGCCTGTGGCTCGTGGGATGTGCGCGCCGAGACCACATGCCACTGCCAGTGCGCGGGCATGGACTGGACCGGAGCGCGCTGCTGTCGTCTGCGGTTCTGAGGTCGAGCGCGGCGCGTGCCCAGCGCGGGCGGAGGCGGCTCCAGGTCCGGAGGGGTGGGGGCGGAGCTGGAAATAAACCTGGAGATCATGATGATGATGATGATGATGATGGAGAAAATCTGAGCCCTGTGTGGTTTCTTTAGTAGGGCCAGAGGGACTGATCTAGCGTCTCCAAGAGCGGGGCGCGCAGATGCTGGATGGGGACGGGGACAGGGGACACCGCGACTTTTTACTGCCCCATCCCCCTTCCTCCTATGGGGTCTCCAACTGCTTCCTCCGAAAATAGGGCCTAAAGTTCCTCTAGTGAAGTCCCCGCCCAAGGCTCATGGTCGCCTTCGGGAGGGGACATCAGAAAGTGGACTGACAGGAAACTGACGGGAAGTGGAGCTCAGGTGGTAACGGGAGCCATGGGGAGCAGCTGTCAATACGGAGGAAGCGTCTCTCACTTGCCCCCCACTGTCTCCTGCTGTGCGGCCCAGTTCCTCAGGTCTGGTGGTTGGGACCCCTGCCACAGCTCTCTGGGGCACACATTCGGGTGATTCACGGTCCAGTTCTACAGGAAGCCTGCCCCAGGAGTCCTGCCATCCAGTCACTGATTTGCCACCAGACTTCAGAATTCCTAGCGCCTAGTCATCTGATAGGGATCCCAGACTCAAATGTCACATCTGGACAACAGATGATAGGGTGAGGTTTCAGTTTTCAGGATGTTTTGTACTCTCCTCCCACTGCCACCCACCCCCTGTGATGGCCCAGCCCCCTGTCTCATCCTGGTGGCCAGGGATTCCCTTGCCAGACCCTCTCTCCTCACTCCACTGTGGTCATGCGGGTGGGGTGGGACCACTGAGTCAGAAGTGTGGTCAGGGCCAGAGAGGGTGAGCCTAGTGCCTTGTGTGTGTCACTGCCCCTCATTGCTGTGTGTGTGTGTGTGTCTGTGTGTGTGTGTGTGTGTGTGTGTGTTGGGGGAGGGATACTCCATTGTCCCCAGAACTATTTGTCTCCAAGCCTCATCCAATAGCCCTGTATCTGGACCCTAAGAGGGATCTCTTCAGATTCCTCAATCCCAACACAGATACTCTCCTGTCCCAGAGTGCAGGCTTGGAGATCATATCTGCCCAGGTGACATGGACAGGAAGCCCCCTATTCGAGCCTCCATTTCCACATCAGCTAATGCCTAGATCCCCTGTGGTAGGCAAGATTATTCTCCTCCTTCCCCTCCCCCTCCCCCTCCCCCTCCCCCTCCCCCTCCTCCTCCTCCTCCCTTTCCCCTCCTCCTTCTTCTCCTCCTTCTTCTTGTTCTTCTCCTCCTCTTCATTCTTCCTCCTCTTCCTCCCCTTCTTCTTCTTGCCCTTCCTCCCCTCCTCCTTCTTCCTCTTTCTCCTCCTCCTCCTCCTTCTTCCTCTTGTTTCTTCTCCTCCTCCTCCTTCTTGTTCTTGTTCTTCTTCATCATCTTCTTCCTCCTCCTCCCCTTCTCCTCTTCCTCCTCTTCCTTTTTGAGATATAGTATCACTCTCTTATCTAGGCTGGAGTACAGTGGCACAATCTCAGCTCACTACAACCTCCACCTCCAGGTTCAAGCAATCCTCCTGCCTCAGCCTTCTAAGGAGCTGGGATTACAGGTGTGCACTATCATGGCTGGCTAATTTTTGTGTTGTTGTATACACAGGGATTTCACTATTTTGGCCAGGCTGGTCTTGAATTCCTGCCTCAGCCTTCCAAAGTGCTGGGATTACTGGTGTGAGCCACCAAGCCCGGCCAAGGCAAGATTCTTCCGCTTGCAAGTACAACAGACCCCACTTCGAACTGGCTTGAGCAAAATGGAAAGGAAGTTTCTGGTTTGTGTAACTGACAAGCCCAGGGTTAGAACAACAGGTTCAGATGTGGCTTAGAATCAGGGTCTCAAATGATGTCTCCAGGACCCAGACTACCTCTTTGATCTGATTTTCTCAGCACTGCCTTTACTCTCTTCCCTGTCACAGCTCCCATTACATCCTCCTATTTTGGCAGCCCTAGTGAAGTTTGGGGGGGGGGGAAGAATGCTTTTCCCCCCTGGTTAAACCAATAAAAGTCCCAGACCAGAATTTCATTGGCTGGGTCTTGCTCAAATACCCACCTTTCTGCCCAATCTTAGATTCTGATTGGCTGAGTCTGGATCATTTGTCCACTGTAAACCAATCCTTAGCTTATGGTTGGCTGAACCTAGGATACATTTTCATATTTAAAAGAAAATTAAGAATATCCCCCATGAAAGGGACAGGTGCTGGTCAGGCAGCTTCACAGTTGTTTCCCACGTGACATGATTGCTGTGGGCCTCTGGTTTAGTGTGACCTTTTTCTCAGATGAGATCGGGTGCATTCAGGGTGGTATGGCCATAGACGTGTGACCTTTCTCTCAATGAAAGTCCAGAGCCTGGAGACAGATCTCACCCCACCCAAACCAGGAAAATTTGCAACGCTGTGGCTCCACCCCCTCATCTGTCCATCAAGGCAGAGCCCACATCCAATTGGTCCGTCTGCTCCATTAGAAAGCGGTCCTATAGCTCAATAACTGACTTATTTCTAAGACCAAATAGAGGAGCTGGCATGAAGTCATTATTCAATTGATCTTTCTTGGAGACGCAGGGTTTGGCAACACTTTAGGAAACAACGTGATCCTTGCGGGATCTCGACGCTCATTCCTCAGCATTCAAGTTGTCTCAAATTGAATCACATGTTTTAAACCGAAACATCATCACTTTCTGCACATAAGACAGAGTCTTATACTTGTGTGGGGGTTTTTTTTTTTAACCTAAAAGGGAGAAAACTAAAATTATCAAGACCTACACTGTCCATCAGCACCCTTGAGCACTTGAAAGGTAGCTAGTCCGAAGCGAGGTGTTCAGTCTATACACACTTGTTTTCGAAGACTTCGTGCCAAAAAAGGAATACAAATAGGCTCATTAATCATTTAAAAAATACTACCTTCGTGCTGAAATGATCATAGTTTGGGTATATTATGTTAATAAAAACAGTATTCAGATTTTTTCACATATTAGCATTCTTTTGGCTGACTTTTTTTTTTTTTTTTTAGACGGAGTTTCGCTCTTGTTACCCAGACTGGAGTGCAATGGCACTATCTCAGCTCACTGCAACCTCCGCCTCCTGGGTTCAAGCAATTCTCCTGCCTCAGCCTCCTGAGTAGCTGGGACTACAGGCGCGCGCCACCATGCCCAGCTAATTTTTATATTTTTAGTAGAGACGGGGTTTCACCTTGTTGACAGGATGGTCTTGATCTCTTGACCTCGTGATCCACCCGCCTTGGCCTCCCAAAGTGCTGGGATTAGAGGCGTGAGCCACCACGCCCGGCCTTTTTTAGCCTTTTAATGTGGCGGCTAGAAATTTTTATTTTTTTTTATTTATTTATTGTAGACTGAATCTCCCTCTGTTGCCCAGGCTGAGTGCAATGGCATGACCTCGGCTCACTGCAGCCTCTGCCTCCCAGGTTCAAGAGAGTCTCCTGCCTCAGCCTCCCAAGTAGCTGGGATTACAGGCGCTCACCACCACACCTGGCTAATTTTTGTATTTTTAGTAGATATGGGGTTTCACTATGTTGGCCAGGCTGGTTTCGAACTCCTTACCTCAGGTGATCCACCCGCCTCAGCCTCCCAAAGTGCTGGGATGACAGGTGTGAGCCACCATGCCCAGCCTCCTCCAAGGTTGCAAAAAAGCAGGGGGTTTGGGGAGGGAGGGAAGGATGTGGGTCTGCCCTCAGTCCCAGAGGTGGCTGTGGCCTTCCAGTGGTTAGTTCCTGTTGCCTCACAACTGTGCTTTTCCTCCCTGGGGCCTTGTAGAACTTCTTGGGGTGGAGCTGAGGGGTGGAACTGAGGCTGGGGAGAGGAAGGTGTTGGGAGAGCCAGGAAGCCTGGTTGCTCTTCCCCGAAAAGTTGAGACACTGAGGTGTCACAGCTTCTCTTTTGAGATCCGACTGCAGTTAGGAGGGTGAGGTCCATCCTGGTAGACAGACACACATAGACACACGGCTTTCTGTAACATTTCCAAGTGTCCAATTCCATCTCCCCGTCTAGGGGGTTTTCTTCTTGGTCCTTCCTGAGACCTCTTGGCTCCCAAGACCCTCTTGATCGGGGCAGGGATGAGAGTGCCCCAGGGTGGGAGAGTCGTGGATCGCTGAAAAGAGGAGGCTGCTCCCCCTCTTTCCTCCCCCTACCTTCAGCTTTCCTCATCTGCCTCGACACCTTCCGGTGGGTGGAGACGTGTATGGATCAATTTTCGGACTGGGGACCGTGGACGTGGAGGAAATCTACAAGCACCAGGAAGTCGAGATGCAGGCACCGGCCTTCAAAGAGAAGAAACGGGGGGTCCCAACCAAGAATCAAGGTTAGGAACCTCAAGGTGGAAGGGAGGGGTCGAGAAGGAGAGGTTGGGAGATCGGGGACGGGGGCTTACATCTGTAATCCCAGCACTTTGGGAGGCTGAGGCGGGAGGACTGAGTGAGCCCAGGAGTTAGAGACAAGCCTGGGCAACATCGGGAGACCCTGCCTCTAAAAAAATAAGAATAAAAAAGGGAGGGGTTCAGATGGGAGAGGTATGGGGTTAAAGGTGGGGGCCAAGGGCTCCTTCCCCTCCAAGATGTGTGTGTGTGTGTGTGTGTGTGTGTGTGTGTGTGTGTGGTGTGATAGCTCAAACCTTCATACACCTGCTCTGCTTAACCAAAAAGCAGATTTTAGCTTCTCACTTTTTATCTTTCATCCTCTGCAATTTATTGAGCGCAGAGGGTTGGGTAAACCAAGATCCCAGATCCCCTCTCCACACCACAGAGCTCTGAGCAGGTCTCCAAACCGCCCCCCTTCCCGTCCCCGCCACTACTCCCCACGCAGGTGCCCATGACCCAGACTATGAGAATATCACCTTGGCCTTCAAAAACCAGGACCAAGCGAAGAGTGGTTATTCACGACCCACGAGTCAAGGTGAGCAGACACCCACCTGCTCACATCCCATCACACCTTGGGAAGGGACAGGTAGGTGGGCATCTGTGGGGCCCCAGGCCTGAGACCTTTTGGCTCCTTGTGGAAGGGAGGAGGCGAAGGGGGAGGAAGAAGTGACAGCTGTTGATGTGTAATGAGGTCTGTTGCTGATGACGCTGTTGGGGAGTGCTGGTGAGGGTCTGTGATGGGGATGGTGTTAGGGAGGATCGCTGAGGGTGGCTGGTGGTGGCAGCGTTGCTGACGATGACGGTGAGCTGCATGGGCACAGCTGCTGATGGTTTTGGGAGGAGCAAGGCATCCATGGTGTTCGAGAAAATGAGGATGGTCTGAGTGGTGGTGCTGGCCCTGTGAGCTCACTTGGCTGCCTCTCTGCTCCAGTCCCATCGCAGTGCAGGCCACCCTCAGACTCTATCCAGATCCCCTGTTGGTTGTACAGAGCCATCCTGAGCGTGTACGCCCTCTTGGCCCTGGCCTTCATCCTCTGCATCATCCTCTCGGCCTTCATCTTGGTGAAGAGTGAGTGCTTGTTCTCTGGAGGAGGGTGCCAAGGGGCCTAGGCTGTCTCCCTTGCCCCTCTCCCTCTCTCCCTTGATGCTTCAAGGATTTTCCTGCCCTTCCTGAACAGATTCTGAGATGTCCAAGGAGCTAGTGGACTTAAAAAGGGACCTTTGGAGTGGTGAGTGGAGGGTCTGGGGGAGACCCATGGGGTAATGGTGGGGGTGTGGAGAGGGGTGGATGCACAGACAACCCTGTTTCATGCCCTCAGTCTCAAACTCCATGCAAACATGTGAGGAGAGGCAGAAGGAAGTCTGCAAGTCCATTAAGGAGAGCATCAAAGGGGTCACAAGCAAGGTGGAGAAATTAGAGACACAGTTACCAGGTGCCTGTGTAGTCCCGCCTTTGGTGGTGGGGGGGTGGACTTGTCACCAATGCCCGGCACCCAGTTGGGGGCAGGGGAGTCAGGGGAGGAGATAGCTGGGGTCCAACCCTCCCAAAGCTCAAGTTGCAGACAGGTGATGGATGTTACCCTCTGGGTCACTCCGTGGGTATTTAAAGGCTCCTGGGAGCCGGGTGCAGTCGCTCAAGCCTGTAATCCCAGCACTTTGAGAGGCTGAAGCAGGTGTATCACAAGGTCAGGAGTTTGAGACCGGCCTGGCCAACATGGTGAAAACCCTATCTCTACTGAAAATACACACACAAAAAAATATTAGCCAGGCATGGTGGCACATGCCTGTAATCCCAGCTACTCGGGAGGCTGAGGCAGGAGAATTGCTTGAACCAGGGAGGCAGAGGTTGCGGTGAGCCAAGATCACACCATTGAACTACAGCCTGGGTGACAGGGTGAGACTCTGTCTTTAAAAAAAAAAAAAAGAAGTCTCCTGGGAACCTCAAATCCGGGCGTGGGGCAGGGAGGGGGCTTCCAAGGAAGGTGGGGGCTTTGTTTGAGGTTCCAGCACAGCTTGACTGATCTGTACTCACTCAACCTTCCCCACCCACCAGATATAAAAAACATTGAGACAAAGGTACAGAGAATCTTGGAGGTGCTGGAGAAAACATCACGTAAGTTGCGGCCCCAGGGGGAGGTGGATGAGAGTGGCTGGGTGGGGCTTCTGATTTAGCCGCAGCTTCTCTCCCAGGGGTGGGATCTGTCTCACTATGGGTCTCTCCCCATCCCCAGAGTCCTCACATAAATAAAGGAGGGGACATTGTGGCAGCCAAAGCTACAGCTTGGAAGATGGGGTTGCACCTGCCGATGAAGACGGAATGACCCCCCGCCAGCCTAGTGTGAATTTGCCCCTCATCCTGCATATAGAAAAACCTTTAGTCATGGTGAATGAGTGTCTCAGAGCTGTTTGTGTGCGTGTGTGAGCATGTGCATGTGCGTGTGTGCATTTTGCCGAGGGTGGCCATTTCAATGTGTGCCCCAGAAAGGTGATGAATAGGACCGTGAGAATCACAGTGAGTGTGGCATGCGTGCCTGTGTCACATGACATGTATGAGTCGGCATGTCACAGTGGGTGGTTGTGTCGAGGACCTCCAGCAGATGTCACTCTGAGTGTGGGTATCGGTGACATGCATTGCACGGGCCCATCTCCCTGTTTGTGTAAACGTGCCTGAGTGTACTGAGGCATGTTGTGGGTCTACATGTCATGGGGGGGGAGATGTGCACACTATGGAAATGTATCTCTGTATGTATGAGTGTCACCGTGTGTGCCCTGTCACTACTACCTGCGCCTGGGTGAACGGCTGTGTCATTATGAGCGTGCTGACTTATGCCACCCTGTGTGTTCAGGGCACATGCACACAGTCATTTATTTCGGCACTCACATTTTGTGACTCATGAAGAGAAATAAAGAGAAAACAGCATCGCTATAGTGTCTGTTACTGGGGCAAGTGGAGGGGCTTTGGGACCTGGGAAGAGGGAGAGTCTGCATGTAACAAAGACCCTGATGCATGAGGGTGGGGGAAACTGAGTGCCCTGTGCGAGTACCTGTGGTTCCGTGAACGGGTAACTCATTCCCTGTGTCCCAGAGTGGGTGCCCTGAGTGTACAACATCTTCCTGAGTGCACCTGGGCCCATGGATATATACAAGCCATAAGCGTGTACCCACGTGTGTAATTGTGCCCGTGAGTGTATCTGCACCACTGAGCATGTATCCATAAGTGTACATAACCCTAATGTACTATGCCCACTGCTCATGCCTGTACTTGATTTTTTGGTTTTGTTTTTGAGACAGGGTGTCACTCTGTCACCTAGGCTGGAGTGCAGTGGTATGAGGCAGGGTCTCACTCTGTCACCTAGGCTGGAGTGCAGTGGTACAATCATGACTCATTGCAGCCTCTACCTCCTGGGCTCAGGCAATCCTCCTGCCTCAGCCTCCCGAGTAGCTAGGATTGCAGGTTCACACTACCACACTTGGCTAATTTTTTATAAAGAGGTGGAGTTTCCCTATGTTGGCCAGGCTGGTCTCAAACTCCTGGCGTCAAGTGATCATCTCATCTCGGCCTCCGAAAATGCTGGGATTACAGGCTAGAGCCACTGTGCCCGGCCACATGGATGCTCTCTGAGACAATAGAGCACAACCCCAAGGACATAGGAGTGCCTGCAAACGTGAGCAGGTGTGTCCACGCGCAAGGGAATACATGGACCCATTGTCATACGTATGCCCTGAGCAGGTGACCAGACCTGCAAGCGTCCCCTCCAGCGTGGGCCACCCAGAACCAGGGATACCCTGGCCACGCGCGGAGCTGCGATCACAGCCGCGGGCTACGATCGCAGCCTGGGTCCCACTTCGCGGACTCGCGCGCCCCTCTGCGGCGGCTCTCTAGCACCACCGCGCACGCCCCGCCCACACGCCCTCCCGTCGCGCGCCTGCGCACGCAGCGCCTTTTACGGCGCCGTAAAGCAGCTCGACCGAGCCGACAGCTGTGGTTCTAGGTGAGACCTCGCCAGCGTCCCCCACCCGTGCCGGGCCTCCTCCGCTCCCCAACCTTCCCAGCGGACCTATGGGTCCCGGGCTGGGTCTCGGCGTCCGCGATCCCAGATCCGCTCGCTTTGGTCTCTCTCAGGAGGCTGCGAGGAGGGTGGGTTTCTCCCCAGAGTAGAGGTCACTTCACCCACCCAAGTCGCAGCCCGGTGGTGGTGTCTTAATATCTCCCTCGCATCTCGTGTGCCCAGGGCTCTCCCCACGGACGGATCTGCATGCTGGGGCGGGGGCTGCCCGGAGCCCTTGGGACCTTCATCCCCGCTGGTCCTCCCCCTCCCACGCAGACCTCACTGGGGTCGGCTCAGCATCCTCAGACCACCCTACGCATGGTGGAGGCGGGGTTCTCAGCTGCCCCTCCGATCCCGTCTCGGTGCCTGACCCACCCTGTTTCTCTCCAGGAGCCCCGTACCCGATGTCCCTCTCCCTACACCCACAGCTGATGGGAGGACCACAGTTTCTCAGCATCTAGCTTCCTCTCTGGAGAGCACGGGAGGTGGGGCGGCGGGAGAGCGGGAGGCTCCCAACACCTTCTCTGGGCCCCTCCTCCCAGCCTTCAGAACCCAGGCCCTTCCCTGTCTCAAAGGACGGGGGCTTCCTGCGTGACACATCGGAGCTGCCCAAGGGCTTGGGGTTGGGGGTTCCCTGCCCCTCCTGCCTGGCCCCATGGCTCTCGCCTGTTCAGACCCCCAGCCCTCCTGGCCTTTGGTCTTGACGCGCTCCTACCCCGCTGTCAGCCTCCACCCCTTTTACTCTGGCTTTCCGCAAGGGGGGCGAGCGGGAAATTTCCCGAGGGTTGTCAGTGCTGGAGCGCATGGCGGAGCAGGGGCGACTGCCCATGTACCCTCATGGTGGCTCATCTTTGTCACCTCCCTGCCTTTGATCTGACGCCCCTCCCCCCATAAACTAGTTTTCTAGTTACTCCTGTAGGTGGTGGAGCTGGCAGGAAGGCGCTTTTCGCAATTGAATTGCCTGGGTGATCGAAGTGTGTGGCTTCCGTCGCCCTCATCTGTTACCCCTCGTCCTCATCTGTTACCCCTCGTGTCCCTCCTCTCTCTTTCCCTCACTTCCCCTAGCCTACTGCCTGCTGAAGGTATAAGCCTTCCCCCTTTCCTGAATTGTCTGGTTACGTGTAATCGAGGTGTGTTTCTGTTTTTGTTTTTGAGTCGGAGTTTCGCTCTTATTGCCCGGACTGGAGGGCAATGGCACGATCTCGGCTCACCGCAAGCTCCACCTCCCGTGTTGAAGAGATTCTCCTGCCTTAGCCTCCCAAGTAGCTGGGATTACAGGCATGCGCCATCACGCCTGGCTAATTTTGTATTTATAGTAGAGACGGGTTTCACTATGTTGATCAGGCTGGTCTCGAACTTCCGACCTCAGGTGATCCACCCACCTCGTTCTCCCAAAGTGTTGGGATTGTGGGCGTCAACCCACACCGCACCCGGCACATCGAGGCGTGTTTTATGCCCATATCTTTGCACGTGGGAAGTCAGCGCTGGAGCATACAATGGTGGTGTGGAGTGAGGGTGTCCTAGGGGCCCTCGCTGTTCTCACTCCTTCCCTCCCCGCCTGGTCCCCTTCCCATTGCCCCTAACACGCATGCTTCCTTGTCTCCCTGCAGGGCGGCGGTGGGATGGAGGCGCGCTTCACGCGCGGGAAGTCGGCTCTGCTGGAGCGCGCGCTGGCACGGCCGCGCACCGAGGTGAGCCTGAGCGCCTTCGCACTGCTATTCTCTGAGCTGGTGCAGCACTGCCAGAGCCGCGTCTTCTCCGTGGCTGAGCTGCAGGCGCGCCTAGCGGCCCTGGGCCGCCAGGTGGGAGCGCGTGTGCTGGATGCGCTCGTGGCTCGAGAAAAGGGGGCCCGGCGCGAGACCAAGGTGCTGGGCGCGCTGCTCTTCGTCAAAGGCTCAGTGTGGAAGGCGCTCTTCGGCAAGGAAGCGGACAAGCTGGAGCAGGCCAACGATGACGCGCGCACCTTCTACATCATCGAGCGTGAGCCGCTCATCAACACCTACATCTCCGTGCCCAAGGAGAACAGCACGCTCAACTGTGCCAGCTTCACAGCGGGCATCGTGGAGGCAGTGCTCACACACAGCGGCTTCCCTGCCAAGGTCACGGCGCACTGGCACAAGGGCACCACGCTCATGATCAAGTTCGAGGAGGCGGTCATCGCCCGAGACCGGGCCCTGGAGGGCCGCTAACCCCGCTGGAGATAAAGGATACAGAGAGCCCCCTCCCCAAGTGTGTCTTGTGTCTTGTGTGGGGACCTCAGGTCCACATGTGTTTATAATAGAGTGGGGCGGTGAGGGCGGGACTGGCCATAGGGTTGGGGGTTGAGTGAGGCCAGGAGTGGTGGTGGGGAGAAATAAACCAGACAGAAGGAGTTGGTGGGAAATGCTGGCAGGTTCTGGAACCACAGTTGGAGGCTGTCTGCAGGCTGAAGGGGGCATGGTGTTCTGGGAGAGGCATCAACACAAGACAGATGCCTTTAGACTTGGGGTGGGCAAACTGTGCAGAGGGCCAGATGGACAATATTTTATGCCATGTCGTCTCTCTTTTTTTTAATTTATTGAGATGGAATCTCTGTCACCTAGGCTGGAGTCCAGTGGCACAGTCTTGGCTCACTGCAACCTCCACCTCCTGGGTTCAAGCCATCCTCCTACCGCAGTCTCCTGAGTAGGGGGGATTACAGATGTCCACCACCACACCTGGCTGATTTTTTGTATTTTTAGTAGAGACGAGGTTTCACCGTGTTGGCCAGGCTGCTCAGCACTCTAAAGTTAATTTTAAAACCCAGAATGATACAAACATTTTCCGTGTTAAAATTTTCAAATAAGTGTGGTGCAGTGCTGCACACCTGGAGTCCCTGCTATTTAGGAGGCTGAGGCAGGAGGATTGCTTGAGGCCAGGGGATGGAGTCCAGCCTGGGCAACATAGTAAGACCTCACCTAAAAAAATTTAAAATAAGGCCAGGCGTGATGGCTCGTGTCTGTAATCCCAGCACTTTGGGAGGCTGAGGTGGGCAGATCATTTGAGGCTAGAAGTTCAAGACCAACCTGGCCAAAATGGCAAAACCCATCTTTACTAAAAATACAAAAATTAGCCGGGCGTGGTGGCAGACACGTGTAATCCCAGCTACTCGGGAGGCTAAGGCGGGAGGATCGCTTGAACCTGGGCAGCGGAGGTTGAAGTGAGTCAAGATGGAACCACTGGCACTCCAGCCTGGGCAACACAGTGAGACCCTGTCTTAGAAAAGAAAAAACAAGGTAATAGATCATGCCTCAGGTGATTCTTTCCCTTTTTGTTCATCACACTTGGTTCCTGACCACTTCTCCTCCCCAAGGAAAGTCTTTCCAGGTTTTTTGCGGGAAACCGTGATCCAACCTTCCCTGCTTCCTTTCCCCTGCCCCTAGGATGCGAGTAGACGGGTCTGTTCAGAAAAGGAACTGCAGGTGCTGTCGGCTGCGCTTTCCTCACTGGTTACGAGAAGGGCCAAAAGGGTCGCTGTCGCCTCTTCATTTGCTTAGGATGCTCCATTGGGCTGCCTGGGGGACCAGGGCTGAGGGCTTGGTGAGGGGGCAGTTTCAGTCATCCCAGCAAGAGGCATTGAGCAGGGTGGGCTTCAGCACATCGGGGAGAAGGTGGCGTCCCTAGGGTAAGTGAAACCATTGAGCAGCTGCCACGCATAGCCCAGGACTGATCCTGGAATAGCTGTTGGCTGGTGGAGGTGGAGGGAGGTACTAGGAGAGGGCTTGGGTAGGGTGACAGCCTGAATCTGGAATGAGGGGGAGGTGTCTATGGGGCCAGCAGATGCACAGGTCTGGGGGTTTGGGGTCTGCAGTTCTGGAGGGAGGTCTGTGTGTCAGAAGCCACAGTCCTGGATGGAGGACAGAGGGAGGGAAGCATGGTGTCTGAGAAGCTGGATTTCAGAGAAAAATGTGGGACACTTTGGGCTAAGCAGCCCCAGGCAGGTCCTCTGAGACCCTGGGGAGAGGAGCTTCCAGGACCTGCCAGGGCAGGGGCCAGAGGCAGGAGGCTAGAATGGCATGGGACCATTCTTCCGGGCTGTGAAGGGGGCCAAGTGAAGGAGGCCGGACAAATCCGGAGGGAGGAAGAGGGGCTGTGGGACTTCGTAAGCTGGGAGTGCAGGGCCCAGGGTCTATTCCCACTCACTGTCCCCACCTGGCCACCAAGGGTGGATTAGGGGGCATGAGGAGAAGGGATAGGTTTGAACAAGGTTATGAGGTTTGAACAGGTTTGAACAGGGTTATGAGGCTGGGCCCGAGTCTGGGGCAATGGAGGATGAAGAGAAAGGAGAGGAGCCTGTGGTCCAGCAGCTTCTGATCACAGCAGCTCTAACTTAGGGTGCTTTGGCCTGCAAGGAAGGCCTGCCCTGGACCCTCCAGACAGATGGGTGAAGAGGAGGATGATGATGAGCTGAGCACCAGCCTTTGGTGAGCTGGGCAAGCAGCATCACCTCATTTGACGGGCAGGTTCCAAAAGAAGTCATGTGCCCATGGTCACACAGATTTATTTTATATATATATATATATATATATATGGAGAGAGAGAGATGGAGTCTCACTCTGTCACCCAGGCAGTGGTGCTGTCTCAGCCTCCTGGGTTCAAGCGATTCTCCTGCCTCAGCTTCCTGAGTAGCTGGGACTACAGGTGCTGGCCACCACGCCTAGCTAATTTTGTATTTTTAGTAAAGACAAACTTCCAACCTCAGGTGATCCACCTGCCTCAGCCTTCCAAGGTGCTGGGATTACAGGCTTGAGACACCACACCTGGGCTTCCCACAGTCTTTTCTTATGGATTTGGACTTGGAGATGGCATTGGGGGAAGGGAAGAGGCACAATGACCCCAGTGTTGGCCTGAGCCACTGGTAGAGGGGTGTGGTGAGGTATGCCCTGCACTCCTGGCCTCCCTCCCATGGCCTCAGGGGCATGGGCTGACCTTGTCCAAGCCTCAGGCTGTAGCACCTCATCCTCCCAGACCCTGAGTGGGGTTAACACCCCAGACCTGGAATGACCTCCAGTTGACGAGGCCAACTCCCCATCAGCCCGTACAGCCAGCCCAGCACTTACTGAGCGCCTCTGTGTACCAAGCCCTGTTCCGGGCACTTCCATGGGTGAACTCATGCCCTTCCTGCCTCAGGGTGGTCCGCTTCCTTCCCTACAATATTCCAAGGCACCACTGGACATCAGAGTCTTCATGTCCTGTACATTCTCCTTGTAATAAAGCAGGAAAAAATTAAAATGGGAGATAGAATTCTACTTCAGTTGCTCCTCAATTTGTTTCTTTTTTCTTTTTTGTTTTTGAGACGGAGTTTTGGTCTGTAGCCCAGGCTGGAGTGCAGTGGCGCAATCTTGGCTCACTGCAACCTCTGCCTCCTGGGTTTAAGTGATTCTCCTGCCTCAGCCTCCCAAATAGCTGGGATTATAGGTGCACACCACCACACCTGGCTAATTTTTGTATATTTTTTAGTAGAGATGGGGTTTCACCATGTTGGCCAGGCTGGTCTCCAACTCCTGGTCTCGAGTGATCCGCCCACTTGAGCCTCCCAAAGTGCTAGGATTAAGCATAAGCAACTTCCAGGTCCTGGAAGCCCCTCACCAAGCCCTCCCCAGGGTCTCAGAGGACCTGCCTGGGGCTGCTTAGCCCAAAGTGTCCCACATTTTTCTCTGAAATCCAGCTTCTCAGACACCATGCTTCCCTCCCTCTGTCCTCCATCCAGGACTGTGGCTTCTGACGCACAGACCTCCCTCCAGAACTGCAGACCCCAAACCCCCAGACCTGTGCATCTGCTGGCCCCATAGACACCTCCCCCTCATTCCAGATTCAGGCTGTCACCCTACCCAAGCCCTCTCCCAGTACCTCCCTCCACCTCCACCAGCCAACAGCTATTCCAGGATCAGTCCTGGGCTATGGGTGGCAGCTGCTCAATGGTTTCACTTACCCTAGGGACGCCACCTTCTCCCGGACATGCTGAAGCCCACCCTGCTCAATGCCTCTTGCTGGGATGACTGAAACTGCCCCCTCACCAAGCCCTCAGCCCTGGTCCCCCAGGCAGCCCAATGGAGCATCCTAAGCAAATGGAGAGGCGACAGTGACCCCTTTGGCCCTTCTCCTAACCAGTGAGCACCTGCAGTTCCTTTTCTGAACAGACCCGTCTACTCACATCCCAGGGGCAGGGGAAAGGAAGCAGGGAAGGTTGGATCACGGTTTCCCGCAAAAAACCTGGAAAGACTTTTCTTGGGGAGGAGAAGTGGTCAGGAACCAAGTGTGATGAACAAAAAGGGAAAGAATCACCCGAGGCGTGATGTATTACTAGGCATAAGCAACCATGTCTGGTTGCTCCCAATTTTCTTTTTCTTTCTTTTTTAAAGTCAGGGTCTCATTCTGTTGCTCAGGCTGGAGTACAGTGACGCAATCTTGGATCATTGCAGCGTCTGCCTCTGGGGTTTATCCTGCCTTAGCCCCCTGAGTAGCTAGGATTACAGGCATGTGCCACCACACCCAGCTAATTTATTTTTTTTTTTAGACTGAGTTTCACTCTTGTTACCCAGGCTGGAGTGCAATGGTGCGATCTCGGCTCACCACAACCTCCGCCTCCTGGGTTCAGGCAATTCTCCTGCCTCATCCTCTTGAGTAGCTGGGATTACAGGCACGCACCACCATGCCCAGCTAATTTTTTGTATTTTTAGTAGAGATGGGGTTTCACCATGTTGACCAGGATGGTCTCGATCTCTTGACCTCGTGATCCACCCGCCGCGGCCTCCCAAAGTGCTGGGATTACAGGCATGAGCCACTGCGGCCGGCCAAAGATCTGATGTCCCAATTTTCAAAGGTGGTCTCAGGCATCAGACTGGAACTCCCTGCTCCCATGTCCCACACCCAGAGACCAGACCCAGCCAGTCCTCCAAGAAGGGAACAAATGTGGGGGACATGATTGCATTTTACTGATGCAGGCTGGACAGGAGGACTCGCCGCCTGAGCAGGGGGTGCTCAGGTCCTGGGGTGCTGAGGACATGGGGGTGCATCTGGAGAGGGTGGTATTGGGGATACTCCCATCTGGACAGGGTGCTGTTGAGGGGCACTTCTGGGGAGGCAGGGGCTGCAGAGGAGCTGGGATGTGTCAGCTGCCTCCATTTGGGTGGAAGAAAATGTCACAGGGATTTTTCAGCCTCAAAGAGGCGTCCAGGCTGTGGCTGGGGATCTTCAGGGTTTCACTCTGGGCTGGCTGGGTCCATGCTCAAGGGTGGAGAGGGGCAGAGGGGGTAGGCAGGCGGCCATTTTGGTCTGGTTCTGAATCAGGTCCCGGGGACTCCGCGGAACCTTCCCTGGCTGGCAGCGTGCATGTGGCCAGCCGATCGCATACCCAGGTGCCCAGCTTACGGTCGCAGTAGATGTCGTTCCAGTCGCCAGAGCCCCGCATCATCACACAGTCTTCGCCCTGGTTCCGGTTGGTAGGCTCCTCTGGAGCCCAGTTGCTGGAGCAAAATGCTTTGGGTCAGTGGATGGGGTGGGGAGAAGGAGCCTGGTTCCCAGCAGCCTGGACAGAGCCCTCTGAGCCTGCGCCCTCCCTTCTCACCCCAGGTTCCGCCTTCCTGAGTCTGTGTTTGGGAACCTGTACCTCATTTCGGCGCCCCATACCCTACAGCCCAAGACTCACCCTTCTTTTTTTTTTTGATACAGAATCACTCTGTTGCCCAGGCTGGAGTATAGTGGTGTGATCGGGGCTCACTGCAACCTATACCTCCTGGGTTCAAGCGATTCTCCTGCCTCAGCCTGTCAAGAAGCTGGGATTACAGGTTCCCACCACTGTGCCCAGCTAATTTTTTTTTTTTTTTTTTTTTGAGACTCTGTCACCCAGGCTGGAGTGCGGTGGCACGATCTTGGCTCACCGCAAGCTCCACCTCCTGGGTTCAAGCGATTCTCAGCCTTCCAAGTTGCTGGTACTACAGGTGTGTGTCACCACGCCTGGCTAATTTTTTGTATTTTTAGTAGAGACGGAGTTTCACCGTGTTAGCCAGGATGATCTTGATCTCCTGATCTCGTGATCCATTCGCCTCAGCCTCCCAAAGTCTTGGGATTACAGGCATGAGCCACTGCACCTGACTTAATTTTTGTTGTTTTGTTGTTGTTTGTAGATGGAGTCTCACTCTGTTGCGCAGGCTGGAGTGCTGTGACGCTATCTCAGCTCACCGCAACCTCTGCCTCCTGGGTTTAAGCAATTCTCCTGCCTCAGCCTCCTGAGTAGCTGGGACTATAGCCACCCACAACCACGCATGGCTAATTATTTTATTTTATTTTAGTAGAGATGGGTTTTCATTGCATTGCCAAGGCTGATCTCAAACTCCTGAGCCCAGGCAATCCACCCGCCTTGGCCTCCCAAAGTGCTAGGATTGCAGGCGTGAGCCATGGCGCCCGGCCAATATTTGCATTTTCAGTAGAGACAGGGTTTCGCCATGTTGACCAGGTTGGTTTCGAACTTCTGACAGGTGATCCATCCACCTCGGCCTCCCAAAGTGCTGGGATGACAGGTGTGAGCCACTGTGCCCAGCCAAAACTCACTCTTCTAATCTGTGCTTGGAACTTCCTCCCTGACCCCCTTCCTCTATATCCCCTCCTCCAGGCCAGGTTTCCCCCACCCCCTCTGGCTGTCCTCCCCTGCAACCTAGAGCCTTCTCTGAGCCCTCACCCCCTTCCCGAGAGGTTTATCCAGGGAGTTCCTCCCTCCACGGTATTCCCGCCTCCTCCCCTGGATCCCAGAGGTGTCCTCCTCACCTGTAGTCCACAGGGGTCCCGTCCATCCAGATAAACTCCCCCTTCAGGTCCAAGTTCCGAAGACCAATCCAGGAGCCCGTGCGGCTGGCGTGCTTGATCAGGAAGTCCTGGGGGGCAGGACAGGGCTGGAGGACTGGGACATGTGCCTGGGGCTTTCCAGCCCACCTCAAGAGGTCGGGTTGAGTGGGGTGGGGTCCCTCCCACCCTCGCTGTGCTGCCTACCACCTCTGCAGAGCCCGAGCCCACCTGCTCCTCATGGCTGTGGATGCTGACCAGCTGCCCTTCCATGTCTTCACAGGCGTACCGGGCGTGGACCCACTGCTTGGTGCCCTTGCCGAAGTAGTAGCACTTCTGTTGGAAACTGACCCAGTTTTCCGGGCACATGTTGCACACAAAGCCTGGGGTGGAGGAGAGGCTCAGGGGTGGTGCCGAGGGAGGTGCTGTGGGCATCCTGGGCAGAGGAGGTGGCAGCACCTCTTCTAGGGTCACTCCTGGGGTCCTGGCTAAAAGTAGACCCACCCCAGGACCTAATAGATGGCCTCACAGACTGTGTTCTTTGCTGGAGCGATGATACTGACCAGCTTCATGGAAGAAGTACTTCAGTCACCATGGCCACAAACACCTTCGTGGTTAGCAGAGCTGAGTGTCAACCCTCAACACCTCAACTACCGCCAGCATCTCCACAAACACCTCATGGCCAGAAGCGCTACAAACACCAACACCATCACCACACATTCATGTCCTCAGCTAGAGGTTTCTTCACCACCAACACCATGACCACAAACACATTCATGTCCAACAGTAGTTCAACCACCAACACCATCACCACAGACACCTCACACCTAGAATCCCTCGACCACCAACACCACGACCACAAACACATTCATATCCAACAATCATTCAACCACCAACACCATCACCGCAGACACCTCACACCTAGAATCCCTCGACCACCAACACCATGACCACAAACACATTCATGTCAAACAGTAGTTCAACCACCACCATCATCACCACAGACACCTCACACCTAGAATCCCTCAACCACCGACACCATGACCACAAACATTCATATCCAACAGTAGCTCAACCACCATCATCACCACAGACACCTCACAGCTAGAACCCCTCAACCACCAACACCATGACCACAAACACATTCATATCCAAAAACAGTTCAACCACCAACAACATCACCATCACCACAGACACCTCACAGCAAGAACCTCTCAACCACCAACACCATGACCACAAACACCTTTAAGTCCAACAACACTCAACCAGTATTATCACCTCACAGCTAGAACTCCTCAACCATCAACACCATGACCGCAAACACATTCATGACCAACAACACTTCAACCACCAACACCATCACCACAAGCACCACCACAAGCAGAAGCACCTTAAATCCATCATGGCTTGGCAACTCTTCAGTCACCAACACCATGACCACATCACTAGCTCCATAGCCAGCAGCAGCTCAGCCACAAATCCCATCACCACAAATGCCTCACAGCGAGCAGAGCATCAATCACTAACACCATCACCATCAACACCTCATAGTTAGCAATGCCCCAACTGCCACCAACAACACCATAAATCCATCCATGGCCAGCAACACTTCAATCACCAACATTATCACCACATCACCAGTTCCACAGCTGGCAGCACCTCAGCCACAAGCACCATCACCAACAAAATTTTGACCAACCTCATCACCTGACACCTCATGCCAGTAGCACTTCAACCACCAACAGCAGCACCACAAATACCTCCAAGGCCAGAAGCACCTCAACCGCCATTATCATCACCTATGGCCAACACCACTTCAATCACCAACAACATTACCACCAACAACTCATGGCCAAAAATGCCACCAACATCATCATCACAAATGCCTCATGGCCAATAGTGCCTCAGCCACCAACACCACTATGACAAATGCCTCATAGCCAGTGAACATCAACCACCAACATCATCTCCACAAACACCTCCTCAACCACAATTATCATCACTATAAACACACCCATGATCAGCAACACCTCAGTCACCAACACCATGACCACATCACCAGTTCCACAGCCAGCAACACTGCAACCACAGTCACCACAAACACCTCACAACTAGAAGTACTTCAACCAGCAACACTATCACCACAAATACATTCATACATAACAACACATCAACTACTAACACCATCACCACACATTCATCTCCAGCACGTCAACCACCAACACCATCACCACAGACACATTCATGTCCAACAACACATCAACCAGGAATACCATCACCATGAACACATTCATTTCCATCAACCACCAACACCATCACCACAAACACATTCATGTCCAACAACACATCAACCACGAACACCATCACCATGAACACATTCATTTCCATCAACCACCAACACCATCACCACAAACACATTCATGTCCAACAACACATCAACCACCACCATCACCATGAACACATTCATTTCCATCAACCACCAACACCATCACCACAGACACATTCATGTCCAACAACACATCAACCACCACCATCACCATGAACACATTCATTTCCATCAACCACCAACACCATCACCACAGACACATTCATGTCCAACAATACATCAACCACGAACACCATCACCATGAACACATTCATTTCCATCAACCACCAACACCATCACCACAGACACATTCATGTCCAACAACACATCAACCACCACCATCATCACCATGAACACATTCATGTCCAACAACATGCAAACCACTACACCGTCACCACAAACACCTTACAGCTAGCAGAACGCCAATCACTAACACCTGCACCATCAACACTTCATGGTTAGCAACATTCCAGCTGACGCCAGTGTCACCACAAACACCTCATGGCCAGAAGCAGCTCAACCACCATTACCATAAATACATCCATGGCCCGCAACACTTCAACCACCCACATCATGACCAGGAGCACCTCAGTCACCAACACTGCCACCACAGACACATTCATATCTGACAACACTTCAACCACCATCACCACCATCACAAACACCTCATGGCCAACAGTGCCTCAGCCACCAACCCTATCATGACAAACACCTCATGACCAGCAGCACTTCAACTACCAACAGACCCCTCCAAGGTCAGTAACACCTTCATCACCAACATCATTACCAGAGGCACCCACCACCAGCAGCGACTTACCTCCACCACCCACACCACAGCCAATGCCGTCTTTACCAACCATACCAGCCAAGTCTTCATCACCAGCACCAACAGCAAAACCAGTGCTGTGGCCAAGTCCACTAGTGATTACTTTTCCCAAGTACCATCATCACCAGCAGCCCTGGTCATCTTCACTGGCAGTACCCCCAAAACCAGCACTCCTAGCCAATATCTGGAAAATTGAGATGATTTTTTTCTAGTGGGAGGCTTTGGTCAGGGAGCCAATGGGATTGCAGGACTGGGTTCCACAATCCCTCAATGTGGAGCCAGCTTGGTCTCTTTCTCCCCTTCCCCTCACCCCAAGGAGACCCCCAGACATTGTTGCTATCACCTCCCATTGGGAGGTTAAACCTGTTCTTACTGGATCAAGCCTTTCTTGCTTTAAAATAGATTTTCAGCAGTAGTGTGCACCTGTAATCCCAGCTACTTGGGAGGCTGAGGCAAGAGGACCATTTGAGCCCAGGAGTGTGAGACTAGCCTGGGCAACATAGCAAGAACACGCTTTAAAATAGATTTTCAGCAGTAGTGTGCACCTGTAATCCCAGCTACTTGGGAGGCTGAGGCAAGAGGACCATTTGAGCCCAGGACTGTGAGACTAGCCTGGGCAACATAGCAAGAACACGCTTTAAGAAAGTAGATTTTCCCACAGTGATATGCAGGGAGGGTTCCACAGCACTTGGACAGACATTTTCTGTTTTGTTTTGTTTTGAGACAGAATCTTTTTTTTTTTTAAAGATGGGGTTTCACCATATTGGTCAGGCTGGTCTCGAACTCCTGATCTCAGGTGATCCACCCACCTCAGCCTCCCAAAGTGTTGGGATTACAGGCATGAGCCACCAAACCCAGCTGAGACAGAATCTTGCTCTGTCACCCAGGCTGGAGTGCAGTGGTGCGATCTCGGCTCACTGCAACCTCCACCTCCCAGGTTCAAGCAATTCTCCTGCCTCAGCCTCCTTAGTAGCTGGGACTACAGGCGTCGACCACCACACTAGCTAATTTTTGTATTTTCAGTAGAGACGGGGTTTCACCATGTTGGTCAGGCTGGTCTCCAACTCAAACTCCTGACCTCAGATGATCCACCCACCTCGACCTCCCAAAGTGCTGGGATTACAGGCATGAGCCACCGCACCCGGCCATAATTTTCTTTTTTTAAATAGGCAGGGTCTCGCCATGTGGCTCAGGCCAGTCTCGAACTCCTGGGCTCAGGTGATCCTCCACCTTGGCCTCCCAAAATGCTGGGATTACAGGCACGCGTCACCGTGCCCAGCTAATTTTTTGTATCTTTAGTAGAGACGGGGTTTCACCGTGTTGACCAGGATGGTCTCGATCTCTTGACCTCGTGATCCACCCGCCTCAGCCTCCCAAAGTGCTGGGATTACAGGCATGAGCCACCACGCCCCCAGCCGATCAGATTTTTCTAAGAGACTTAGAGTCTGCACTAGCTCAAGTTGGGTGTGCTTCTCACCCATGAAATGGTAACCAGTACTCAGTCCTCTGGGGGCGCAGTGTTAAAACAGGAAGAGGTGGCCAGGTGTAGTGGCTCATATTTGTAATCCCAGTGATTTGGGAGGCCAAGATGAGAGGATCCCTTGAGCCCAGGAGTTTGAGGCTATAGTGAGCCGTGATTGTGCCACTGCACTCCAGCCTTGGTGACAGAACCAGGCCCTATCTCTAAACAAAAAAAAATCCCAAAACCCCCCAAACCAGGAAGAGGACATTTCTGAGCTCTTAAAGAAAACTTCAGGGGGGGCTGGGTGTGGTGGCTCATGCCTGTAATCCCAGCACTTTGGGAGGCTGAGGTGGGTGGATCACCTGAGGTCAGGAGATCGAGACCAGCCTGGCCAACATGGTAAAAGCCCATCTCTACTAAAAACACCAAAAATTAGCCAGGCGCAGCAGGTGCCTGTAATCCCAGCTACTCAGGAGGCTGAGACAGGAGAATCACTTGAACCCAGGAGGCTGCAGTGGGCCAAGATCATGCCACTGCACTCCAGCCTGGATGACAAGAGTGAAATTCCATCTCAAAAAAAAAAAAAAGAAAAGAAAAGAAAACTTGAGCAGAAGGTGTCTTGGTTGTTTGTTAGTCACTCAGAGATAATCTCAGAGCTGGGCCCAGATCCCAGGCTGTGGGGCTGTATTTGGGGGAGACTTCAGGGATTGGGGAAGAATTGGGAGGTGACCTGTCAGGAGTAGGCATGGTCCAGAGTGCCCCTTCCCCTGTGCCTCTCCCTGAGGAACCACCCTGAGGTTTCTGGCTGGGATTTCCAAAACCACACCACATCCCAGGGGATGGGACTTCATCACACCAAGCACAGAAACTTCCTCTTCTCTGCCCCAGTTAGGGCAGCTGGGGCTTCCCAGAGGTCAAAGACCAAAAATCAAAGGCAGGGGCATTGGTTGGGGGAATGGCAAGGCTGTAAAACCCCGGTTCCTAACCCACATTAATTTTTTGTTTTGAGACAGTCTCGCTCTGTCATCACCCAGGCTGGAGTGGCGCGATCTCAGCTCACTGCAACCTCCACCTCCCAGGTTCGTGATTCTCCTGCTTCAGCCTTCTGAGTAGCTGGGATTACAGGTGCCCATCACTACACCTGGCTAATTTTTGTGTTCTTAGTAGAGACAGGGTTTCACCATGTTGTTCAGGCTGGTCTTGAACTCCGACCTCATGATCTGCCCACCTCAGCCTCCCAAAGTGCTGGGATCACAGGTATGAGCCACCACACCTGGCCTAAATATGTTTCTTCCTTAGAGGCAAGGTCTCACTCTGTTGCCCAGGCTGGAGTGCAGTGGCTCAATCCTAGCTCACCACAGCCTCAAACTCCTGGGCTCAAGTGATCCTCCCACCTCAGCCTCCAAGTAGATGGGACTACAGGTACACATCACCACGTCTGGCTAATTTTTTCATTTTTTTGTTGCAGCAGGGTCTTGCTGTGCTGCCTAGGCTGGTCTCAAACTCCTGGACTCAAGTTACCCTCTTGCCTTGGCCTCCCAAAGTGCTGGGATTATAGGCGTGAGCCAGGGCACCTGGTCCCTAGCCCACATCAAGGACACAGTGACTGAATGGCTGCTCTCTCTGCAACCTGCTAGCCTCCTGGGGTCCACACTGCCTCCTCCATTACTGCCACCCCTGGGAAAGAGGCCACCATCTCCACTGTCCCATCACTACAGACTTTACTGGGCCCCCTGGCCTGGTCAGACAGTCTACCGTGAGGGCTATGCCCAGGGGAATCCTACAAATGACTCCTCACTAGAGCATGTCGAGCAGAGGACAGCAGCAAGAAGAGCCTAGCTGTGGTCACCACTGCGCTGCTTTAACCCAGAAGAGGAAAGAATTGTAGGAGCCCTCAAATCTGTGAAAAGAATCGGAACGGCCATTCTTACCAGGCAAAACGGCTCATACCTGTAATCTCAGCCTTTGGGGAGGCCAAGGTGAGAGGACTGCTGGAGCCCAGGAGTTCAGGACAAGCCTGGGCAACAGAGCGAGACCCTGTCGCTACAAAAAAAAAAAAAAAATTAGCTAAAGCCAGGTGCAGTGACTCATGCCTATAATTCCAGCACTTTGGGAGACTGAGGTGGATTTCTGGAGCTCACAAGTTCAACACAAACCTGGGTAACATAGTGAGACCCATGGCTACAAAAAATCAAAAATCGGCCAGGCATGGTGGCACACACTTGTAGTGTCAGCTACCCTGGAGGCTGAGGTGGGAGGATCTCTTGAGCCCAGGAGTTGAAGGCTGCAGTAAGCTAAGATTGTACCACTGCATTTCAGCCTGGGCAAAAGAGCAAGACCTCATCTCTCTCTCACTCTCTCTCTCTTTTTTTTTTTTTTTTTTTTTTTTTTTTTGAGGCAGAGTCTTGCTCTGTTGCCCAGCCTGGAGTGCAGTGGTGCAATCAAACAGAGTGCGATCTCAGCTCACTGCAACCTCTGCCTCCCAGGTTCAAGTGATTCTCGTGCCTCAGCCTCCCCAGTAGCTGGGATTACACGCCCACCACACCCAGCTTTTTTTTTTTTTTTTTTTTTGAGATGGAGTCTTGCTCTGTCGCCCACGCTGGAGTGCAGTGGCACCATCTTGGCTCACCACGCCCGGCTAATTTTTGTATTTTTTAGTAGAGATGGGGTTTCACCATGTTGGTCAGGCTGGTCTTGACTTGAACTCCTGATTTCAGTTGACCCAGAGTAATCTCAGCCTCCCAAAGTGCTGGGATTACAGGCATGAGCCACCTCGCCTGGCCAAGATCCCATCTCTTGAAAAACAAAATAAGGGGTGCTTCGTGTGTGCCCCATGTGTCCTGCCCCATCAGAAACTTGGTCCTAACCCCGTCATCACACACACCTTTGCCTCACACCCAAGCACACTCCCTACCCTGCACTTTGACACTCAGGCCACACAAACGTATAGGCATGCTGCCTCACATCACACACGCTTGCGGTCGCTTGCATCTGCCAACACACCCGAGGCCCAGGTGCGGTCACACACCATCCCACGCAGAGACTCAACACTCACCTCTGGACACCTGCAGCTCCATCAGCAGCTTCCTCACCTCCTCCTGGAGTCTCCCCAGCGAATCCGAAGCTGCGTGCCTCTCATTCAATTCTTGGGGAGTCAAGGTGGGGGGCGGTGCTCAGAGGCCGACTCGCAGGCCCCCTCCTTGTCCCTTCCCTCCCCCATTGCCCCATCCCCTCCCAAACCTCACCCTGGGACTTGAAGCTGCTCAGATCTGCTTGAAGTCTATTCAGGTTCCAGTACATCTCAGAGTCTGGTGTGTGCAGGAGCGCAGGGCTGGTCTCAGGGATGATGTGTACAGGCCGAGGGCGTCCCCCAGCCTGACCCCCAGCCTCATGCTCCCCCAGGGCTCTGAGACACTCCCTCCTTTCCACCCAATCTGCCTTCATACCCCCAACCCCAGTCTCTCACCATATTTCATTCTCTGCTGTTCAGCTCGAAGTTCCTCCAGGCTCTGTGAAATCTCCGTGGCTGTTTGCAGGGGAGGGCCTTCGTGCTAAGCAGGTCCTCACTGTCTCCCCCATCTCCCCACACCCATTCCTTGGCCTCTCTGCCTGGGTTCCTTTTTATTCCCCCCCAAGATGAAGTCTTGCTCTGTCGCCCAGGCTGGAGTGCAGTGGTGAGACCTCGGCTCACCGCCACCTCTGCCTCCCAGGTTCAAGCAGTTAATCCTGCCTCAGCCTCCTGAGTAGCTGGGATTACAGGCACGTGCCAACATGCCCAGCTGATTTTTGTATTTTTAGTAGAGACAGTGTTGCACCATGTTGGTCAGGCTGGTCTCGAACTCCTAACATCATGATCCGCCTGCCTCAGCCTCCCAAAGTGCTGGGATTATAGATGTGAGCCACTTAGCCTGGCCTGCCTGGGTTCTAAAGACCACCTGCTCAGTTTGCAGTTCATGGGTGTGGGGGGGGCATGCTCTCGGTCCATGAAGTCATCCAAGACCCCCTTCCATTTCCCCCTGCAGACCCCAAGTCCAGGGGTCACTCACCCTGGGATTTCTGCGCCATCTGGTCACCCTGGTATCTTTCAAAGTACTTGGAAACTTGAGAGACTGCAGTGGCAGGAGAGAAGATATATCCCAGTAACCTCAAAGGCAGGTCCTTGGACCCCACCCATGCCCCAGACTCAGGGACCTGGTCACATAGTCACAACAGCTGCTGCTGCTTCTCACTCATTTATGCAAGAATATAATGAACCTGCCTAACTTTCCTTCACCAGGATTAACTATAAAAGCAATAGGCATCTACCAGAGCACTTCACAAATCTTAGAGCTTGCTTCTATCTCATGGTGCTAAAAATATGCCCATTTTACAGATGAGGAAACGGAGGCACAAAGCAGTTACAAACTTCTTATGCTATAGATGTGTAAGGCTGCGGATTTACAATGGCTCAACTTAAAATAGCTCGAGGTACAATGGCTCGACTTTACGATGATGTGAAAGAAATATGCACAATGGAAACCCTATTTCTCTTGCAATACTGGGCAGTGGTGGGGAGCCTAAGCCTTCGGGCAGCCACGCAGTTTTGACTTACACTATTTTCAATGTACTATGGGCTGATGGGGATATAACCCCATTGCAAGTGGAAGAGTATTTGTATTCAGATGCTATCAGGCAGTTTTCCAAGTTCCCTGGGTCCCCACCTTCCCTAGGACGGGGAGCAACTTATGCTGACCCGCAGTTCCTTAGAGAGGGGACACTGAGGCCCAGGGAGGAGCAGGATGAGAGCTGGGCATCCTAACCCTCACTCCCACCCCCCTCTACCTTGGCTCCTGCATACCGTTCCGGGCAGCTCTCTCTTCCAGCTGTTTCAGATTCTGTGTGTTGTCCCTGTCTGGAGAGGGAGAGAGAAGAGGCGTGGAGGGGGGAATTGTCAGGTGCCCCCACCTGCCTGCACCCACCTCCCAGCTGGGGATGGAGGGCTTGGGTAAAGCCGTAGTGTGCTGAAGGATGGAGGACAGAGACGCTGGGTGGGGTGAGGGGCTCTGGAGGACAGGCATGGGGAGAGCTGGCAGTGTCAAGGTGGGAGGTTGGGCTTTTGCGGTAAGTTGGCCTCCCCAGGCTCTGAGATGGGGGTGTGGGAGGAACACAGAGGGGCTTCGTGGGTAGGGGGGACCACATGGGACTAGGGGTGTCCTCACGCCATAGGAGAATCAGAGTCAGCAGCCCAGCCCACAGAGCAGCGGTCAGCAGCCCCAGCAGCATGGTCTGAGTCCAGTGCCTGCAGCACCCCTTCTTCCTGGAAAGCTCCTCGATCTCTGCCGGGCATGGAGGAACTGACTATGGGCGCAGGGTGAAGCTGGACTCTGGCTCTGTCTGTCTCCCCATTACCTAGAGCCCCTGACAGCCTGGGAGCCTGTCCAGAGCCCACACCACAGCAGAGGGTCTCAGTGGACCCCTAGCTCCCATATGCACAGCTTCCTTACCTGACTTAGATCTGGGTCACTATCCACAAACAGATCTGGGACCAAGTGCTAAGACTCCCTCAGCCCCCAACTAATGCCAGGTCCCCAGCCTCACTTCCAGGAGACTGGGTCCTGTTTTTTCCTTCCCCCCTTAACTCCAGCCCCCACCCTTACACCTCTTCACCTTCAAGCTCTACCCTGGTGCCTGTCCCCAACCCGGAACCCCTTCCCTAAATGTGGGACACCAAGTCCCAGTTCTCCCCAACATCAGAGTCACTCTCCAGCCCCTTTCCCAGTTACCACCCAACACCCAGACCTCCAAAGCTCACCCAGGCCCCACGCAACACCCGGACGGACCTCGAAAGATCTACCTGAATGTCCCACCCCAAGCCCCTGGCCCTCTGCACTCACCCTGGCTTGGAGGATTCATTATGCTAAATTCTGCTTGTTCCAAGTTCTTGTTCTACTTAGCCTCCGACTCTAGTGGACTCCCAGCTCCCTAGCTGGAGCCGTTTCTTTGTGGGGAGGGTGGGAGAAGGGTGTTAAGTCAGAAAAAGGAGGGGCCCTCAATTTCTTCTCCTTCCTGGCTCCCCACCAGGAAATTCAGTCCTGCATCACTTCCTTACCCATGCTCAGTTCCATTCTTAGAAATTCCTTCTCAGAGGGACTGGGAAGCCCCCTTCTCTCCTGGGTGAAAGGCTGTAGGGAAGCATCTTTGCTTCTGCCAGTGTTAGAACCAGAGGGTCCTCCTACCTGAATATTGACCTTCCTCCATGGCAGTCCTGCTTGGATTCTCCCGACGATGGGGCACTCGCTCCCTGACAAGGCAATCCACTCAGCGGGCACAGTCACAGCTCTGGCTGGAATCTGGGTTTGAATGATGGTTAGGGTGAGACGACAAGCCCTAGTTACCGGCACAGGGCAGCATCTGGGACTCTGGGGACTCCATGACCATTTGCTGATTTTGTTTAGTCTACAATCTGGAGTGAGTAAGGCGGTTAGTAGGGAGACACAGCTATTGTGGAGAGACAGCAGCTGTGATCAGAAGTGGGGCACCGCAGAGCCCATCACACTTGAGTTACACAGCAGGTGCAAGCATGTGATCTTGACAAATAGCTTAATTAACCTGGAAACTTCCTTCCTCCTCTGTAAAATGATGATACTGAGAATACCTATACTGCTGGTTGGTGAGCTGCGCTAAAAATGTCACCAGCTGTTATTCTAATTGCTTTGCCTGTGCAACCTCAGCCAAGGAGTCAACCATTCTCAGCCTCAATTTTCCCCTCTGTAAAATGGGCTGATGACAGCACCCAACTCATAAGGCCAAGAGAGGACCAAATGAGATCATGACATACCTGAGGCTTTTGGTGCCGTGCTGCACACAGTGGGTCTTCAGATCCTAAACGTTTATGAAGCATCTACTCTGTGCCATGTCCCACTGGGAAATGCTATGAGCCCATGACCCAGGCCTCAGCCTTCTCCTCTGCCAATGTGCCCAGGGCACCTGGAAAATGCTCTGACTTTACTTATTTATTTTGAAATGGAGTCTTACTCTGTTGCCCAGGCTGGAGTGCAGTGGCATGAACTCAGCTCACTGCAACTATCCACCTCCCAGGTTCAAGCAATTCTACTGTCTCAGCCTCCTAAGTAGCTGGAATTATGAACATATGCCACCATGCCCAGCTAATTTTTTTTTTGAAAGAAAGAGAGAAGGAGAGGAAGAAAGAAGAAAAAGAGGGAGAGAGAACGGGAATATTGCTTTATTCTAAAAATGGGTATTAATAATGGCTGATCAATATTTTGTGTATTTAAAGTGGAGAGCTCTATAAACATTTGTTAAGTTTACTTGTTCTGGATCTGTGTTCAAGTCCTGGATATCCTTATTAATTTTCTGTCTCATTGAGTCTAAATCTCTTTGGTATATACTTTTTGGTATATTTTTAGTAAGGCTAATACTGGTTGTTTCTGTGTGTAATGCCTCTTTCAGAAGCTCTTGTAAAGTCTTATGTATCTGGGTGTTAGAATCATTAGCTCTTATTGTTGCATTGATCCTTTTACCACTGTAACTTTGTTGCTTTGAAATCTATTTTATCAAATGAGAGAATTGCAACTCCTGCTTTTTGTTTAATTATTTTTGCTCTCCATTTGGTTGGTAAATCTTTCTCCAACCCTTTGTTTTGAGTCTTTGTGTATCTTTGGATATAAAATGGGTCTGGATGTAGCATACCATTAGGTTTTGGCTGTATCTTTTGATTGGGGGATTTAGTCGATTTAAATTTAGGGTTACTGCCATTTGATGTTAACTGGCTATTTTATCCATTCGTTGATGTAAATTCTTCTTTATGTTGATGCTCTTTACTTTTTGGTATATTTTTAGTAAGGCTAATACTGGTTGTTTCTGTGTGTAATGCCTCTTTCAGAAGCTCTTGTAAAGCAGGCCTGGTGATAATAAAATCTCTGAGTACTTGCTTGTTCATAAAAGATTTTATTTTTCCTTCAATTGTGAAGCTTAGTTTGGCTGGATATGAAATTCTGGGCTGAAAGTTCTGTTCTTTAAGGATGTTGAATATTGGCCCCCACTCTCTTCTGGCTTGTAAGGTTTCTGCTGAGAGATCTGCTGTAAGTCTGATAGGCTTCCCTTTGTGGGTAACCTGACCTTTTTCTCTGGCTGTCCTTAGTATTTTCTCCTTCTTTCAACCTGGTGAATTCTAACGATTATGTGCCTTGGGGTTGCTCTTCTTGAGGAATATCTTTGTGGTGTTCTCTGTATTACCTGGGGTTGAATAGTGTCCTGCTTTGCTAGATTGGGAAAATTTTCCTGAATAATATCCTGAAGAGTATTTTCCAGCTTGGATTCATTCTCTTCATCATATTCAGGTACACCAATCAAACGTAGATTAGGTCTTTTCACATAGTCCCATATTTCTTGGAGACTTTGCTCATTCCCTTTTATCCTTTTTTCTCTATTCTTGTCTTGTCATTTTATTTCATTAAGTTGGTCTTCGACCTCTGATATCCTTTCTTCTGCTTGATCAATTCGGCTATTCAAACTTGTGCATATTTCACTAAGTTCTCGTGTTGTATTTTTCAACTGCGTTAGTTCATTTATATTCCTCTCTCTATTGTCTATTCTTTTTAGCGTTTCGTCAAACCTTTTTTCAAAGTTCTTAGTTTCTTTACCTTGGGTTAGAACAAGTTCTTTTAACTCCCAGAAGTTTCTTATCATCCACCTTCTGAAGCCTACTTCAGATAATGGCACACAGTCCTTTTCCATCAGGGCTTGTTCCATTGCTGATGAAGAACTGCAATCCCCTGTAAAGGGAGAGGGGTTCTGATTTTGGGTATTCTCGGCCTTTTTAGGCTGATTTCTTCCCTTTATTATAAATTTATCCATCTGTCGTCTTTACAATTACCACCTTTCTAATTAGGTTTCTGAGTGGGCGTCCAATTTATTGATTCCCAGTGCTGGGATCCGAGCAACCCACTGCGCCGGCCAAAACAGCAGCGGTAAGACTGATGGTGCTCTTCTGCCCGGGAATCTCCGGTCTGGCTTCCTTCTTGAGTCTGCAACAAGCGGTTCTGCCTTCCCGGAGCTCCAAACACCAGTCAGTAGGGGAACCAGTTCCATTTATTCTGCATGAAGAGCTGCTGCGCCGGCCACAAGAGTCGCGCTGGCGACCCATGGGGCTCCTCCACTGGAAATCTTCTGGTCCGTGAGCGACGAAAATTCGTCTGAAAGTGTGGCATCCTCTTGTTCTCTGTGCTTTCACTGGGAGCTACAATCCCCAGCTGTTAGTGATCAACCATCTTGGATCCTAATTTTTATATTTTAGTAAAGACAGGTTTTGACCGTATTGATCAGGCTGGTCTCGAACTCCTGACCTCAGGTGATCCACCCATCTCAGCCTCCCAAAATGTTGGGATTACAGTCGTGAGCCACTGCACCTGACCAAGTCCTCTGACTTTATTTTATTTCATTTTATTTTTTGAGACGAAGTCTCGCTCTGTCACCAGGCTGGAGTGCAGTGGTGTGATCTCAGCTTACTGCAACCTCCACCTCCAGGGTTCAAGCAATTCTCCTGCCTCAGCCTCCCAAGTAGCTGGGACTACAGGTGTGTGCCACCATGCCTGGCTAATCTTTGTACTTTAGTAGAGACAGAGTTTCACCATATTGATCGAGCTGGTCTCAAACTTATGACCTCAGGTGATCCACGCACCTCAGCCTCCCAAAGTGCTGGGATTATGAGCATGAGCCACCGTGCCTGACCAAGTGCTCTGACTTTAAAGCATCTACTATGTGCTGAGGAGCATGAGACTTGGGGTCATTCAGGCCTGGAGGTCACCGGCTACCTTCTTTCACTGCCTGACTATAGGTAAGTCCCTTATCTCGGAGACTCAGGGAGGTGGGGGTGTGGGGCAGCCAGGCTCTCATGAGTGGCAGCTCAAGCTGGCCCTTTTGATATTGTGAGAAGAGTCCAGAGATGTCACCATTCTGGGACTCTGGCTGCAGGGGAGGCAGCCAGACAGACCTGAGCCAAGTCCCAGCTTCTCCCTGGGTGAGCAACTCAGTTTCCTCATCTGTAAATTGGGCGTATTCAAAGCACCGGCACACAGTAGGTGGTCAGTAAACCTACTGGCAGGATGCTGGGGGAGTGTCCCCATTCTGTGGGGCCTCTCTCAGTGGAACTGAGGCACCAAGAGGGAAAGTCATTTGTCCCCATCATGCAGTGGTGGAGCTGGGACTCAAACCCTAGACATTTGACCAGGGAGCCTATTTGCTCAATCACTGGAACACAGTCTCCTGGTGGCTGTCTGCTGGTAAGTGTCAGATGGCAGGATCCCAACTCCAGGCCTTCCTTCTAACCCAAGAGGTCCTGCCTCTGTCTAGAGCCTTCCATGGCTCCCCAGAGTCCTCTATGATCAGCTCAGCGCACTCACCAAGCTCATCTCAGACCAGATGGCCTGCTTTCACTTCCCCAAATCAGGATCTGAATGCCTCCAGATTCTGTCCACACTGTGGCCCCCACCCCACCACCGCCTACCACCTCCCTTCTTCTCTGGCTGTAACCTCTTCCTGGTCATCCCTCGAGGCTCAGCCCAAGGGCGCTTCGATCTCCACTTCCCAGGGCCAACCCCGACACACACAGATACGTACTCACGAAGCGGAGTTTGGAGCCTGTGTCCCTCCTCCCACTGGGGTCGACCAGAGAGATTGGCAGGGACTGTCGGGACAGGGGTTTAAGCAGGAAGAGAGGCACTTTCTTCAGAAAGCAGACCAGCTGACAGCCGCTATTTTCATAGACCTAAATATGGGCTTGCCACCCGGATAACGTGACACGCATGGCCTCTCCTGGCATTCCCCACACCCCAGTGAAGTCCGTGCTATTATTACCTCCACTTCTCAGGTAAGAGAATCGGGTGAGAACCAGAAATGCTAAGAAGAAAGTTCCCACAGGGCTGAAGGAGGTGCACGGTAGCATCAAGATTTGAACCAGGCGTATCGCAGACGGAATCATTATGCCACTATGGCAGATCGCATAGGGCCCTGGGGGGCCATGGAACGCTCTTGGCAGAAGTGGGACTTCTTGGATTAGAAGAACAGCCTGGAGTTGGGATCCTGCCACCCAACAGTAACCAGCAGACACTCCACCATGAGATTACGTCTCTCAATGATTGAGCAAATGTCCCATGTCCAGGTCCAATGTCCCAGGTTTGAGTACCAGCAAGAAGAAAGGCAAGAGGAGAGAGAGGCAGAGGAAGGGAAGAAAAAGACAGGAAAAAAGAGGGGAAGAAGGAGGAACAGGAGGGAAGGAGGGAAAGAGGAAAAAGAAAGATACGTGAGATAGCATTCAGTCAAATGTGGACAATTTTGGCCAGGTGTGGTGGCTCATGCCTGTAATCCCAGCACTTTGGGAGGCTGAGGTGGGAGGATCAGTTGAGCCTAGGAGTTCAAGACCAGCATGGGCAACATAGCAAGCTGTTGTCTCTACAAAAAAAGTATAAAAATTAGCAGGCATGGTGGGATTACACAAACACACCACCACGCCCACTAATCTTTTGTATTATTAGTAGTGATGGGGTTTTGCCAAGTTGTTCAGGCTGGTCTTGAACTCCTGGTCTCAGGTGAGCCACCCGCCTTGGCCTCCCAAAGTGCTGGGATTACAGGTGTGAGCCACCATGCCCAGCCCCTCCCTCCCTTCTTTACCATCTCAATTCTCGGCCAGATCAAGGTGGAGGGGACATTTGGGGCTCAAAATGAACAGCCTCAGACCACCAGGGTCAGTTACTCACTCAACAGGCCTGCATCAAGGGCCACTTGGTTCAGAGTGACAGACAAGGCAGCATGGTCCCATGTTCTGGAGGGCAGGGTCCCGGGGGCATTCCAGCCAGGCCCCTCCCTGACACAGTGGGGATGTTCAGCCCCAGTGGATGGCCAGCCCAGCCGCCCCCACTGGTTGGGAGGTGGGTTGTAGGGGCACAGGTGGGCGTCTTCTGGAGTGAGAGAAGAAAGCCCTTCTCTGTTTCTTCCCTGAACGGCAACCACCTGCCCATGTCTTCTCTCTGCCTACAACCGTCCATGGCTCCCTTCTGCCCTGGACATGGGAGGTGGCCCACCCAGGAGTGGGGATTTAGAGTTCCCCAGTTGAGAGTGAGGAGAGGGTAAAGGATCAGGGGATGCATTTTGGAGAGGATAAGGAGGGTGGGCAAAGTGCCAAGGGGTCTTAGTAAATAGAAGGCTAGGTGGCATAGTGGCCAGAGCTGCAGATGCCTGACACACACTACCTGGGTTCAAATTCCTGGCTCTGCCGTTGAAGTGCTGCGTGACCTTTGGCAAGTTACTTAACCTCTCTGTGCTTCACATAAGGCAGCATTGATCACCAAAGCTTCAAATTCCTCGGGTGGTGGTGAAAATTAGATAGTCAATATGCACACGAGACACTAAGAACTGTGCCTGGCCAGGCATGGTGGCTCACACCTGTAAATCCTAACACTTCGGGAGGCTGAGGTGAGTGCATTACCTGAGGAGTTTGAGACTAGCCTGACCAACACATGGAAACCTCATCTCTTCCAAAAAATACAAAAATTATCCAAGAGTGGTGGCGGACACCTGTAATCACAGCTACTCGGGAGGTCGAGGCAGGAGAATTGCTTGAACCCAGGAGGTGGAGGTTGCAGTGAGCTGAGATCGCACCACTGCACTGCAGCCTGAGTGACAGGTTGAGACCCTGTCTCGACAAACAAACAAACAATCCCAGTACCCAGCATCTGTTGCTAAATTAAACTACAGAACAAAACCGTCTGTATTTTTTGAGAGACAGGGTCTCACTCTGCCTCCCAGGCTGGAGTGCAGTGGTGTGATCACGACTCACTGCAGCCTCAGCCTCCTGAGGTTCAAGACATCCTCCTAGCTTCACCTCCTGAGTAGCTGGGACCACAGGCACACACTACCGTGCCTGGTTAATTTTTAAAATTTTCTGTAGCGATAGGGTCTCACTATGTTTCCCAGGCTGGTCTCGAACTCCTGGGCTCAAGCAATCTTCCTGCCTCAGCCTCCCAAAGCAGGGGTTACAGGCATAAGCCACTGTGCCCAGCTGGAGTTTGGTGTTTCTGAGCTCTACAAGTGCAGGCGCCCCAGCCCAGCCCCACCCCACACCCCTGCCCCCTCCCCTGGCTCTACCTTCCCGGGTGCAAAAGCCCCGTCTCAGCTCAAACACTAGAATGCTCTGGGGCCCCAGGGACCCAGTCACGGGACTGCCCCACCTGCGTCCCCTCTGCGGTGTCAACACACCTCCTAGTCACTTCAGGCGAAAAACAAAACTGTGCGGATGTGGGCCCCAGATCTGTGGGTGTTGGTTCTTCTTTCAGATTTGGGATCCTCTGGGCGTTGGGGAAACGGTGTCTCTCTCCTCATTTGACCTAGATCAGGACTCAAAAGGAAGGAGTTTGGGGTATCCAGCAATGACGACCCTAACCCATCCCCAGCAGAGTTCTCATCCCAGCCTCCTGGCCCCCCCGGCCCTGACCGTAACTCTGGCTCAGCTACAACTCGATCCCCTCACCCTACGATGCTCTGATCCCAGCCCTAACCTTTGATTGGCACAGGACTAAGGCAGGTCCCAGGCTCTAATAACGGAACCTCCATAATGGGGACAGGACCTGGCTCTGTGTCCCAATGGGATGGAGCCTGGCAACCCTGACCCTAACTCCATCCCGACACAGCCCTGGGCTCCCCTACCCTTTTAACCTCTCCTGGGGTGACAAAGGGGAGAAGGAAAGGGTGTGGGGTTGAGGAGGAAGGGGAGGAAGGGCAGGAGGTGTGTCAAATCCAGAGGGGCTTCAAGGAGGAGGTGTGTTCAAAGCTGGGTTTCTCCCACACTGCACTGTTGGCTTTGGGGCTGATGATTCCTTGCTGGGTGCTGTCCTGTGCATTGTTGGATGTTTAGAAGCATCTCTGGCCACTTGTAGCCAAGAGTCATGACGGCTGAGAAGCTCTGCTTTGAAAACATGATTCTAGATCATGCTTTGGTTTGTTTACATTGTGGCAAAATATGCATAACATAAAATCTACCATCATAACCTTCTTTTTTTTTTTTTTGAGACAGAGTCTTGCTCTGTCACTCAGGCTGGAGTGCAATGGCTCGATCTTGGCTCACCGAAACCTCCACCACCCACCACCCAGGTTCAAGCGATTCTCCTGCCTCAGCCTCCTGAATAGCTGGGATTACAGGCGTTCGCCACCACACCTGGCTAACTTTTTATATTTTAGTAGAGACGGGTTTCACCATATTGGCCAGGATGGTCTCAATCTCCTGATCTCGTGATCCGCCTGCCTCGGCCTCCCAAAGTGCTGGGATTACAGGCGTGAGCCACCACACCCAGCTGGAATTTGGAGTTTTTGAGCTCTGCAAGCTCTACAAGCCCAGGTGTCCCTCCTGGGACTGGGGCCCCCAGAGGCAAAACCTGCGCTCCTCTCCTAGCAGGGCCAGAAGGGCAGCCTGGAGTCACGGTCACACACACCCCTCTCCCTCCCCTTCCCGACCCTCACTAAGACAGAGAGCCCACCACCAGGAAGAGGAAAGCGGTGTGTGGGGTGAGAAGAGCCTGGAGCTGCACTTCTGCATTCCCGGAGCCTTGGGATCTAGAGCCCAGCTGTCTTGTTGGTGTAGATTGTGGCAGTGGGGCAGGGAGAGCTTGCAGGGACTGGTATTTGTGGCCGGGAGGGATGAGAGGGGACACAGAGATGGGCCTGTCCGCACCCTTCCCTCCAGATGGCCCCCTGGAACTCCAGGAGGGGGTTCCTGGATCCCCCTACTCATTGCCTCCCTGTCCCCTCCCCTCAAGGCCCCAAGATACTTCCAGGGACCAGAGAGCTGAGCCAGCAGGTCCTGGGACTCCAGAGAGCAGCCCAGGCACAGCCTGGGAGATTTGGGGATTTCTCTCCAAATGCCCTCAGAGACCCCAAAATCCTGGACTCCAGGCTCTATCCTCCCAGACCCTGGCCTTCACCTTCCTGGAGACCCAGGAAGCCAGGCCCCCAGACCCCATCCTCAGGGATCCAGGCTTAGTCTCTTAAAGATCCAGGAAGCCAGGGCCCCAGACCCCACCCTCAGGGACTCAGGCTTAGTCTCTTAAAGATCCAGGAAGCCAAGGCCCCAGACCCCACCCTCAGAGACCCAGGCTTAGTCTCTTAAAAACCCAGGCAGCCAGGCCCCCAGACCTCACCCTCAGGGACCCAGGCTTAGTCTCTTAAAAACCCAGGCAGCCAGGCCCCCAGACCCCTAGGAATTTGGTGTGGGAATCTCGTGTTTTTCTCCTCCATCCCTGCTGTTCTCATGCCAGTTTCTGGGTCTGCCAGGATGGTGTATGTCGGGGGGTGCTGCCTCTTTGTTGGACACACGTGGTCACTGTCCCCACTGGGTAACCCCTGATGTGGGTGAGTAAAGGCCATGGGGGCCCAGGCCAGCTGCACCTGTTTACCTGCTGTGTGACTTAATCCTCTCTGAGCCTCAGTTTCCTCATCTGTAAAATGGGGATAAACACAGTTCTCTCACATAGGATGCTGTGTGCATAAAGCCTTCAGCCCAATGCCAGATATGGGGAAGCTCTCAATACACAGGAGCATTTTTAGTGCAATTTCCTGAAAAACGTCTCTCCCATAATTAACCAGCTCCCAACCTGGCAGCCTACAAGGCTGTGTGTGGCTGACACCTTCCGCTCTCCACTGCCTCCTCTGTACGCCCCTCCAGTGGCAATGGCCTGCCTTTCTGTTTCATTTTTGGAGAGATGGTCTCGCTCTGTTGCCCAGGCTGGAGTGCAGTGATATGATCATGGCTCACTGCAGCCTCAACCTCCCGGGCTCAGGCGATCCTCCCACCTCAGCCTCCTGAGTAGCTTGGACTACAGGCATGCACCACCCCACCCAGCTAATGTTATTTTATTTTTAATTAATAAATTATTTAAAATGGAGTCTCACTCTGTCACCCAGGCTGGCGTGCAGTGGGATGATCTCAGCTCACTGCAATCTCCTCTACCCAGGTTCAAGCAATTCTCCTGCCTCAGCCTCCCGAGTAGCTGGGATTACAGGTACATGCCACCATGCCCGGCTAATTTTTTGTATTTTCAGTAGAGACAGGGTTTGGCCAGGCTGGTCTCGAACTCCTGACCTCGTGATCTGCCCGCCTCAGACTGCCAAAGTGCTGGGATCACAGGTGTAAGCCATCATGCCTGGCCACCAGCTAAGTATAATTTTTTTTTTGTAGAGACGAGTATTTCACTATGTTGCCCAGGCTGGTCTCCAGCTACTGGCCTTAAGCAATCCTCCTGCCTCAGCTTCCCAAAGCACTGGGATTACAGGCATGAGCCACCAGGTCCTGCTCTTTCTTCATTTTCACAGCCAGAAGCACAGCCTCTTCCAATCTCCCTCTGACTCTCATCCTCCTGCCTCTTCTTGTAAGGACTGATGACATGGGGCCACCTGGAGAATCAGGGCGATCTCCCATCTCAAGA